CAAAACTCACCCGCAGAGCCGGCAATGTGCCCTGAATTAATAACAAACCTTTTATGCGGTTCTCCTTGGCCGGGTTGCCGAGGCTCGCCTTTGTTTGGGCTTTAAATTGTCTGGAATTTATTCAAAGATGGGGGACTAGCAGTGGAGTTCTGCAAGTGGCTAACGCCACAAATATTTGCTAAATAAATTAGCAGCCACTTGGCTGTGTTTGTCCAGCGCATTTGGTAGTCAATACATTGAATTAAAATCAGTGCATAAACAAAGTACCCAAGTGGCTTTCCACAGAATAATACGGACAGCATTGAAATATTTTATGGGGCAGGTTAAACGCAATCGTGGGATCTCCCCCTGAACGCTTTAAATTGAATTGGGTTGATTTTATGAATTGTGCAAATAATTTATTTAAGGAGCCGCGGAGTCGCGTGGCCTCGTCGAATGAATTATGTATTAAAAAGTGAGTGCTGATAAGTACTATCAAAAATAACGCCACAAATTGATAACGAACAGCGGGTAAGTGTGCACTGGATTCTCCCCTGGCGCTAACAGTTTAACCTGCACTGTAAATAGTTTCGGAGATTGGATTACAAGTGCTCTTGGAAAAGGGGTAAAGGATGAGGGGGCGAACGAGATACTGAGGGCTTTTGGCCACTTGTATCTATTAGGTACACATGCAGCCCAGCTCGTGCAGTCATTAGATAAACATCAAAGCGAACATTGAAACCGACAAGTTGCGGGGGATTCGATGGCAAGGGATGGGTTTTTATATGTGGCTTATACGTGGGGTTTGTTCGGCTTTGGCGCCCTTGCCGACAGCAGAAGTCAAGTGCAGGAGCAATGGCCATAACACGCAAAGACCAAGTTGCCAGAAGTTATTCCGCCAGGGCTCCTAGGCTGGGAAATGGAGAAGATAAACACAAATATGAATACACTTTAATTAATACGAAATTCCAATAGCACAAGCTTGAATTGTATGAATAAAAGAAAACATATTTTGTTATAAATGACGTCATTTTTATTTACTTTTGCTTTTGGAATTCTAAACCAATGAATCTATTTAGGTTGGGTTGCATGGTTAGTCATTTGATATTTCCGGCAGCTGAATATTTAACATTGCTTGATATAAATATAAAAACTTAGAATTTAGGGATTTTTTCGGATGGAAAATTTTCTGAAAGTGTAAGTTTTATGTATGGTCGAACGATATTCAAGTAGTTAGCTATTTGTCGGATGAGTAATATTACGACAAAGTTATGCCGGCAATTTCAGAGGCATAACTTTAAGTTCCGCTGATGAAGCGACGGCGACAGTACTAATGAGGTTTTGCTTGTTAGCGAAATATCCTAGCAGCCAGCTCCCCCAGTTTACGATAGCATTAATTACGCGTATAATCCTCGTTCGTCCTCTTCTCCAAATTTCCTCGCAATCTGCACGCCCTACATATATGTATGCAAATATTTTTGCAACGTCTGTCGGAGAAATTTGCTTTTCGGTTTTCCCTGATAGCTAAGCGAAGATTTTGCAGTGCTGATAAATGTGCGAGAACGTGCACAAGTTTCCGAGGAAAAGCCCTGGGGAGATGGATAATATAGAGGGTGAGTGGGTGTTAGGGAAAAGCCGCCTCTATAACATGCAGATTTTCTGCGGCTCGACTGTTTGTATGCGGGTTAAGTAAATGTTTTTAGGGGACTTTAAGGTGAGAGCCGCAGAAGTTTACTGATCAAACAATAGTTGATAGTATTTAAGAAGGAGATTAGCAAAAGTCAAGAAATACTTGCTGATAACTAAAGTGCTTCACTTTGCTATGAAAGCCGACAAAAAAACTTGGCAGAACTTTGACTATGCTGGGAATTAGCAGGACAAACTTGGGAATGAGGTTAATCAAGTCTTAAAAAGAACAAAAAAAAATTGTTAGAGTAGCTTTTTACCTTGAGGAACGAAAATAAAATCCTTAGATTTATATGGTATAAACACTTCTTATTGAGAAAAACGTTTCTTAGAAAAGAAAAGTGAATTTGGCGATCATGAAAAGTAGTTCTACTAACGTCAATCGGATTTCTTTCAGTGCAATACCTTTGAAAGCCGAGCTAAGCCAAAAAACCATGAAAAGTGAGGAAGAAAAGTGCGAAAACTTCCACAGCTAAAAAGTGAATTTTAAGTGTCACTAACTAAGCCTGATTTAATGAGCAGATTTGGTAAAAAGTCCATATACCATATACCACACCACTATAAGCCCCGGCTTTAAGCTTTAAACTGCTGACCTTTGGCTGCATTATGTGCAACCTGTGCAGGTTTACTTTGGACATGATAAATTTCATTTGCATAAATACTAGTGATGTTTTCGTTTGCCAGACAATCGAGCATTCTGCATGCATGTCCGTGTTTACTCACATACTGGCCCACAGAGATGCACAAATAAAGCCGGTTTCAAAGCCTGAATCATGGCACTCGTGTTTTTAATAAAATATCAATTGATCGCCCATTGCCCCCTTCGCATTCGCACAAAATAATTGTTTGCTGAGGTGGAAATTTTCAGTTTGCATACAAACAATTGCGGTTACAAAGTTAGGGTTATAAAATTATTTATTTTTTATTTGCGTTTAGTAAGTATAAACAAATTAGATTATCTGTTGGCCATGATGAAGAGCACATCAAAAAGCATTTCACCAATCTTTACAAGCAAAGGTCTTTTTTTTCTGTTTTTTTTTTTTGTTCTGAAGTATCATACTTTTTTTCCTTTTTTTTGAAAATTTTGAAATTCGCAATGCTATTTTACAACATATCTTGCATATGATGTGAATTATTTAATGGATAAACTTTTCAAAAGCAAAAACAATTGTGTAATTTGTTAGAACATTTTTCAATTTTTTAAGAACAATGCTGGAGTAAACTATTATTCCAACTGTCACTGTCTTCCACATATAATATATATTTGTGCGCCACGCCCCAGGAAACAGAAATATAGTAAAACAAATGGCAACACAATGCAAAAAAGCCGAAATTCGAGGGCAAGCCAAAAATCCCATTGAAAAGGAAATGCCGGATAGAGACAGCTAGAGGAAGAGAAGAAAGGGGGAGATGTAACAACACACGTTCTGCGTCTGCTTGTGTGCGTGTATGTTGTGTGTACTGTGCGGCAGACCAAATGGCGCCAATAAAAGTTTTTGTGCTCTACGAAAAAAAAAAAAAAAATTGGGGGGAGTTCTCCCAAAAATGGTACAAAGCCCCTGGACTTTATTTTTTTTTTGTTGAACCGGCCAGAGATTTAAAGTGCAGTAAAAAAATTGGAGCGTGTTACAGAGACACAGTGACACGTTAAGATGCCAAGATCCCGAATCCGGGTCAAGAAGTTTTCTAAACTTTTGAGCTTGACAATCAAATGTTGTCGACACTTCTTTTTTACTGCCTTTTCTATTTGATTTAATCAGTGAACAAAGGCGTAAGAGAAACAAATGCAAATTGTGACAAGCTCGTACGAAAAGTCGAGCAAATAACCTGCTAAAAAGTAAATAATCTGGGTACAAAATATATCTCCCCATTTCTCCCAATGTCATCAACACTGGCTCTTTGTTTGTCCCGCTCTCTTCGCAAATAAAAAAGCTCAAAGCCGCCCGCTCTTGCCGACACTTGAGCTGAGCAAATAACGGCGTATTTAATCATTTCGTATGTAAATCGAGTTTGTCATAAAAGAAATAGTAGAAAACACGCCGGTTGAATGAGCATTTGAGATACAGTAAAACGTGTACGTAGAGAACGTTTTTTAAATTTTGTTAGATAGAATTAAACTGAGTTAAAAGACTTGCGAATCTTAAAATTCTAACAAAGTTGTATCGTTTTTGTTGACCCGACGAGGGTGTGGAGATTAGAAAAAATTATTTCCGCCTTTTTTATATTTGGTGTTATGACTTTATTGCACATTCCATGGCATTTCGGAAGGCTTATCAAATATTTTACTCATTTGCTGAATCACATAAACTACAAACTATTAAGTGTTAACTGATAAGCAGCGTTGTGTTTTTATTGTTAGACAATACTAATCATACCCAGCATCATTGAAATGACTCACCTAAATTAATTAAATCAATGACCTACAGTTTTATGGGCAATCGGATGCCTTAGTGAGTGCTAATTGTTCCGAACTTCTCTTTCTAAACAAAATTACGGCACTCACTCATCTATCAACGCCACTCCCCCTTTGGGCACCCTTTCCATCTATCATGTCATGTGATGATAAACATTTCTGACAGCTGTTTTTGTTGTTATTGCTTTAGCCTTTTTCGCGCAGGTACAAAAACAACAACAAGCTGAATTGGAGCTTGTAACTCACCGGGAGAGAAAGAGAGAGCGTGAAAGTTTGTGGGAGAGTAAAAGACGGAGAGAGCTCAAAACTCCAAGTGAAGTTTGCACAGTCAAAGGGGGAGAGAGAAAGAGCTTGGATGAGAGCCATATGTATGTCGTGCATATATGTAAGCCTTAATATTGTATTTTCAGACTGGTTCTTTGCATAAATTTTAATAATTTAAAAAACACAAAATGGGCCCACACATAAGAAAATGGACAAGGCACTCATGTTGAGGGGTTTCTATATATGTTTGTTGGCATGTGAATGCTCCGACTACATCTGGGTCCCAACCATTGTGGTCAAAATTGTAGGGATTTTTAATTAAAAATGGATTTACTTCTTTGGATTTGTAAACAAATCAAAAATATTTATAAAAAAAACACTATTAAATTATATTTGATAGATGATATTTTAACATAGACCTAAATTTTGATCTTTTCCACTAATTTATTAATTACTATTGGAATTCATGGCTTGTTTTTGTAGTGCTACCAACTCAGCCGCTGCTGTTTTGCACGCGCTTTTTCACATTCGTAAAACAAGTGCGTGTATTTTTATAGATCCGATACGGCGGCGACAGCTGCCCCCCGGAGCGCCACCCTCCCAGATAGTTTTCGTAGGCGTTCCTGCACTATTTAGCTACTTTGTGTATAGTACTCACCAGGGCAAAGGTCGTGACGGGAGCCAAGCGGAGGGCGAGACTTCGATGGGTGGTTGAGGGACGCAGGAACAGCCGGAAGGCGCTGACCATGGCAGCCCTATTTCTGGACATGTTTCTCGGGGTTAACTGGAACTGGTTCTACAGCTGGACACTACAACACCACAGCACACCGAAAACTTTTCTTTATTCCTTTGACGGTTGTGAATCACAAAAACACCGGTTGTCGGGAATTATGAGTAATATTGAAGATCTTTAGGGGACGTCGGAAAACTTGTGGGTTTTGTTTAAAAATTTGAAAAATATTAGGCACTAGGAGGCTTTTCACCACAAATCAAATAATCGACTTTAATTTGTACGCATCGAAAACTTTAGCGGTGCCTTTTTATCTTCGGGGACTCAAAAGGCACCGTTATAACCTTTCGAAACTGATTAGACCAAAACTGCTGCGCTCGCGACAAACAAACCAAAAAGACCAAATTATTTTTTTTTCACAAAACATTTTGGTATATTTTTAATGTTTAATTTTGATTACTAAAACAAAAGTAAGTTGCTTAACGGAAAATGCAACAAGCCGCCAGTAACAACAAAAACAACAAAGAACGGGCGCCAAAAAGGGAGAATGGGAGAATTTCTGAGAGGTTGGGGAGAGAGAATTACCGGTTTTACGAGCGACTCTTCTTTAAATTTTCATTCGCGGCACATAGGGCAAAAAACACAACGATAAGCACTGAGAATAAGATTATATATGAAAAGATATATATTCTAGCAATAACTAATTAACCCAGCGGCGTTTTAGTGGGCCTCTCGCTGGTGCTCTCTTTTACTTTCTTCGCACTCTCCTCGCCCACAATTATTTCTTTTTTATTAAGCCGGTTCTCTGAACACGCGATTATTATTACAATTTTTTACAGTCGCTAATTTGGGAGTACCTGTAGCACGTGCTAATTTGTCGTGGTTTAGCGACCTATAGATAAATTTTAAAATATAAAGCTTTGGAGCTTGATTTAAATCCGGCGCGCAAACTAATTCCTTTACCGTTAATATTTTTAAGTAAATATTTTTTTTTACAATTATATTTTAGTTGTCAAGATTTTTTTTTACGTTAATATTTAAAATTAAAACATGTTATTGTTAACTAACGTAGTCTCGCCGACCGCGACAAACCGACGAAACAGCTAAAAACAACCGTCACGAACGACAAAAAAGAACGAACTAGGGGTGGGGAAACATCGATAGAAACACCGATGCATCGATGTTTCAAAAATGTTTCGAAACATTGATGGCTTTCCAGCCCTTGCAAACTTTTTCACCAATCCGGAAAGTTTGTGGTTGGTGACTCCACTTTAACAGACTGTTAAGTTATGTAGCCAATACGCCATCCTTACCTACCGTGTCCACCTTTTTAGTTTAGTGAAGACATTCGCCAACTTTAACAAGTACCTCCATCCGCAGTTAGCCACGACTTACTCCAAGGACGATCTAATTTTAAAACGGATTTTTGAATTTTGGATATCACACCTGATAAAAAAAAAGGTCTTAAAGGTCTTGAAATTAACGGTTTTGTACGGAATTTAATTACAAACTCATAGGGGTATGCCATTTCAGAAGTTATGGTCTAGGATGACTTTTCTCGAATAATTATAGAAAATCGACCCAAAATAAATAATTTACTTTTGATGCAGTTTGATATGCAATTTGGACTTAGAATTAGTGAATTTAAGAGCGAATTTTAACAAAGCCATTTTATTGAAATTTGGAAAGGGGCTAAGTCCAAAAAATACAATTTTTTCGAAAGATGCAGTTTGTTAAAAAATTAAAATAGAAACATTTAAATGTATCCCACTTCAAAATCGGATTGAAATTAGAAAATTTATGGACTTGAAGGTAGTGAATTTTTGTCTATTTTCAGTAAACCCATTTTTGGAAATTTGGAAATGGGTTGAAACATAAAAATTGGAAAAATAAATAATAATGCAGTTGGTAAGAGAATTGAAATACAAACTTTTAGAGGTATGACATTTCGAAACCCGATTAAAATTAGAAAAGTTATGGTATTAGAAGTAGTGGATTTTGGACCATTTTCAGCAAACCCTTTTTTTTTTAAATTTCTTCCACTTTGCTTTTTTTTTTTGACATTTTTTCACCACCCAGCAGCAAACCCAACAAAAACTCACTGAAACTTTACACTTGCAATAATTTTCGCTTTTATTATTGTCGCATTACCAATCTAAACTTCAACTAGTTCTCGTACATTTACGCATATATCCAACTATACAATAGAGCTTTGCTTAGTGCTGCGTTAAAATACAACTAGGGCTTTACAGTTTTACATGGAGGCCTGTGACAAGCGCGCTTAGGTCTACTCACTAGGCTTACGCTAAAAACATCTATAATACACTTAGGGGATAGAGGCAGCCTTATGCTTAACGTACTGTTCCGATACGAATGGATTTTGTGTAGCACTCTATTACTGCTGAAACGAAGTCACAGTTTTGGCATGGATTCAAAATGCTTAAAGTACACAGGAGTTTCTGTGGCTGCCATGTGGATAGTAGTAGTTACATATGTGTGTTTGGAGCTGTCAAAAGTTATTTGATCGAGTCTTAAGGATGCGGAGAGCTGAATCGGTGTATCTGAGGTAATAACGAAAGTGCTGGACTATGCGTAACTTAATTAGGCGCTTAATTCGCCATTACCAACTAATAAACATTAAACAACTAACAAAGCGCATTTATGCATTTATTCATGATGCCTCATGATATTATTTATGATAATTTATAATGGGCAAGCACTCACATACACACACACGCGCCTATTTACACAACGTTCGCAGATAAACAACACACAGATACGCACGCACACACACATACACACTGTACAACTTCAGCTGACAACTGCAGTGACATTAATTAGCTGCAATAGCAACAAACAAAAAGATTTATGCATGTTAAAAGCGACTAATTATGTTTTTTACTTCTTAACTCATATTTTTTCTACAGCAGCTGTTTTTAAGCTGTTTATGAGCAGTGACATTTCTGGTTTTCACTTCGGCAGGAGTTTGCAAAAATCGAAAATGTTTTATAACTTCATTTGATTATCCAGAAAAAGGAAATTAAAAATAAATTAAATACACATTTTACGTTTCAGTTTATCAATTATGAAAGTGTAATAGGAGATAAAAACGAAATTAGGGACTCTCAAAATTTAAATTAAATAATATTAAATTAAAAACCATTTTCATAATATTGTCAACTTTGCAAAAGCGTGCCGAGAGTGAAAATTAGAACAGGTTTGATAGGTTCTGCTTTGCATTTTTGCCTCATTTTCATCCTGTCAGTTATGACGTCGCCGTCGCTGAGTGTTTTCCGCACTTTCGGCCGCCAGATGCAGCCAATGCAACTGTTTCCTGAGTTTAGCCCGCAATTTGCGATACTTAATGCCTCCTATGCCACCGATGCCGCCGACGCCTCCGCCGCCGAACAGCTGCTATCACGTGCCCGTCGAGAGGTCGTCTTTGAGCCATTGCGGTATTGGCCGCGAGCCGAGTTTTTTGAGCAGCTTCACCAGCGCCGTATTGTGATTCAGATAGTATCTGCAAGCGACAAAAAACACAGAGGAATGTTCCATCAGAAATGCAGTGGAAGTGGTCGCGCCATTAGAATTTCAAATCGCTCTGTTCCCGCCTCAAAAACCGAGCAAATATGCAGATCGACAGGGACTTACCTTGACAGCCCCTCTTTGTTGGCTAAGTTTCTGAATATTTTAATTCGGTCTTCTATCTCTTGATTGTTTTTATAAACCATTTGGATGGCTTAGACTTTAGCAACAGATTTGTTTGCAGGGTTTTCTTTACAAGAAAATCTTGTTTTCCAAAACCTCATTTAATTTATGGTTCTCATCCTCACCGCATAGAAATCGCTTTCATATCATTTCCCTTCTCCAAAAATAAGCCACATTCACTTCAACTGTAATTCCGTATAACCTTTTTTACCCACATCCTGTGTGAAATATTCTCGTGGCAATTTCTTCCCCCACCATCATCACGAAATCTCGTCAGGAAACAAATTTCCCCAGCTTACAGGCACTTTTATTTGGCCAAACTCCCCAGATATATTTCCCATTTACTCCAGTTGAATGCCTCACAAAGTAGTCCATCTGTCCATCTCCGCTTCCGTATGCCTTCCGTGTGTGGTTGTTGGCCTAGAAAGATCCCCGCCCAGCAAATCGTTTTCCTTGTCAACTGACAACAGCTGGCATACCAACGAAATCGCAGTACAGCAAAGTGCACTTTTAGCGGCCGCAAAGTGCCACATACTCTTCACACCAACCAAAAAAAAAAAAAGGGGAGAAAAAAGGAGAAAGGGGAAATAGTAGCGAGGAGTTTGGTCCCCACACCCATGCCCACATATGTTCATTAATCCTTCACTCAAAGCAGCTGCCTCCTGTGCTCCTTCGTCCTTCGTCCTGTCTGTCCGTCCCAAATCACTCACACTCCGCCCACACGACTGATGGCTCGAACTTTTCATGATTTTCCCACCTTTTCGGATTTCGTTTGGTCTCCTCTCTATTTTTTTTTGGTTTGTAAGGGGGGCGTGGCAGAATTTCGATTTTACTCACCGCTGCAACAGCTTGGCACTGCGCTCATCCATCGCCGGATACTGACGGCCCTTGGACTTTCCGAGGCATTTATTGCGCTTCTCGCTGATGGCCTGGCAGTAGAAGCCCTTCTTCACGTCGTATCGCAGGTGATTTGAATAATCGAGCAGCGGCTGGATTTTGAGGAAGCGCTGCAGCTCGTTCATCACATCGATGGGGTTCAGTCGCAACTGCTCGCCGTCGATGATGTGCAGCTGCTGGGCGGGATAGAAGGCCAGCCAGTGCTCCAGGTGCTGCGCGTACTTGCCCGGATTTAGGCAGCGGTTCCGCAGATCCTTCAGTGCCCTCGGTGCCGAATCGCTTGCCGTTATGACCTGTTCAAGTGGTGCGAGGGAAGAAGCAAGTGGAATAGCATTGAATCAGTGTTATTTCGAAACATAAGCACAGAGATTGGTCATGTGCACCCAAAAAAATTGGGATTCTATCTTAGATAAAAGTTAATTATAAGATAGATAAGCAATTTACATAAAGAAATAAACCAACATTCATCTCATGAATAGATTCAATAACAATGCAAAATTGTATTGTTGAGAAAATATGTTTAAAAAACTCATCAATTTATGAAATTATTTCTTAAACGGAATATTTAAATCATAAGGTAATAAACCATTTTAGTGTATGAGAAGTGAACAAAGAATTTAAAAGAAATTTCTAGCTATTTTCCAAAAGGAAATATGGAAATATAAAATATGGCTCATATTTAAACATATTATGAACACATTGTTTCTTAACCATTTTACTAGCAGCATTTTTGAATTCATTCAAATCATTTTTGAAAATAAATCCTTCCCTTAATTCCCCTCTGAATTGTTCATTTTCAAAGTGTAGAACAGTCGTAAGCAATTCATGGCTGTGGGCAACGGGTTTTGAGTGCCTCGGCGAGGACCTGGACACATGTCAGAGCAAGCTGGCGGAGCAATCTGAGGCATTCGGACATGTGTTAGTTGTGGGACACGACGACCGGGTGCAAATAGAAATTTTCCGGCATGGAATTCAAATGAAATGTGCCAAAGAATCAACGGAAGGAGGAAGCTGCAGGATGCGAGCCACCTACTTGCCACAATGGAAACAGCAGCAGCAGCAGCAGCAAAGTCCCACAAGTTGTTCGAATTAAAAGCAGGATTTTCTACATTTATTTTGTTTTCCGTTTTTGGTTTTTCTCGATTTTCTTTTGAGGTGAACCCAAATGAATTTTCCTGTTTGCTTAAATGTTTCTTTTCATTTGCCCCCGCAGTGCGAGATAAGGAATTGCAATTTGGGAAATTTGTACTCGACCCAGTTGATAACGAATGCATATCAATCAAGGGGGGCTGGCATTCGCTTTTAATAGTAAGCAATCAGTCGAGTTAATTAAAGTTTTCAATGGCTTGAACATTTGTATCGAATTGTTTTTCTAACAAATTTGCAGGAGGTTAGCTTCTGTTTGAAAATACTATTTGGTCATGCAACAAAAACTTCCAAATAGTTTCCCTTGGTTAGGATCTAAAATTATGTTAGTGAAAGTGACTCACCTGATAGAAACTATAGTTGTTGGCTATGACATCGCCGTGGGACCTTTGGTGTTGGTACCACGAGTAAGCTCTCTTCGCAGGTGATATTAAGATTGTGACAATTTTGGCATGTGGAAGCAGGGCGTGAGTTCTCTTTGGCACAGCCTCGCCATCGAAGTAAGTGGCACTCTTCTCGAACATGAAACGTGGCGATCCCAGTTGCGTGGGCATCGGAGAACTGGTATTCGGCATCGATTCCGAGGGGAAGAAGTCCATGTACCAGTCCAGTCCGCGATAGTAATTGTTTCCGTTGAAGAACTGCACCTCCTCGAAGGTTTCCGGACTGGGAATATTACTCGCAATGCTGCCGTGCATGGATAGGAATGTGTACAGAGCAGTGGTGCCCGTCTTCTGCGGACCAATCACCAGAAACTTGGGCAGCGATTCGCAGTTCTTGGTCTTCGACCAGATCTTCTTGTGCCGCACATCGTCGCAGGGATTGCCCCACACGGGATCCACCTCCTCGGGATGCAAACGGAAGTACATTTCAGCCAACTGAACGGGCGGAGCCGAGGCCAACTTGAGATTGGTCCAGCACTGCAGGAACTTGATCACCGATTGGAATGTGTACAACGCCAGACGATCGGATCCGTAGTTGGACATGTGCGTCATGAAGATGTTGATGGGATTGTACACGATGGTCTGGAAGAGTTCCCCACCCTGAATCGACTCATCCAGCTTATCCCTGCCCCCAGGATAGCGATCAATGTACATGGTGTGTGTGAACAAGCCACAGGTTTGCCTCGGCAGCACCATTATATTCCGATGAATGAATCCCCGCCGCAGACGAGCGGGTCTCAAGTGGGGATACTCCTCCGTGGACGTGACCTTCACGTTCCACACCTTCTTCCAGGCCAAGTACAGTAGTTCGTGGGCGGGATAGACGCCGGAGTGATGCGGTGATATGGAGTAGCCCGAGTCAGTGGGTATATTGTGATCCACTGCGAAGGCGTAGTTTAAGTGCATTTCTGCCATCAGGAGGGTGAGGTTGTCGTACAGGTGCGGCTGCTGGTGCTTCCACATGTGCGAAAACCAGTTGAACTCCTGCACGTTCTGCAGCAGGAAATCATCTCCGAGATTTTCATCCCTCGTGCCGTGGTGATAGTACTTTCCCGAGAATCCCAGATTGAACCGGAAGCCCGGTACCATGGCTGCTATGTTCTTTTGTGTGGCAATCAGAGCTCTCACGTCATCTGGTCGCAGTCTTGTGCCCTTCTCCCCCACGAAAATGTCATCGATATCCACCAGAATCATACGCTCCAGATTCAGGCTGAGTTGACCATGACTAAGGTAACTCAATGCATCCAGGAAGACCAAGCGATGGAGCCAAAAGCGCAGGCTGCTCCCGAAGAGAACTCTCTGTATGCCATCCAGTTGTCCTCGATCTTGGAGAACAGTTGTCAAAGGCAGCTGCACCTGACCCACACTATCCGCTGGATACTCCTGGGTGTTCCGCTGGGCCCACTCCACTGGCTCGTAGGTACTGTGATTATGCTGGAAAACGGCCCAATCATCGCCGGGCAAAGCTCCCCATGCAGTTTCCCCCGCTCTCGTCAGCCGAAGCACCGACGAGGAGGGATTCAGACTGGCATCTCTTAGTCTCAGATTCGTGTTCACGAACAAGGGGAAATCTCGGAGCTGTGCTCCCACCAGGGTCTCCTCACTGGGACTCACGAAGCCCACAATGCCCACGGAGTACTCCCGGCAATACTTGTCCAGCAGCTCCCGATTCCACTTGTCCATGTTGAGGTACTTGTCCAGGTTCTCGAACACAATCACTCCGTAGCGACCCTTGTCGAGATTGGTGAGCACCGGCAAGCTCTTGCCCGCCACTTCAATTTTGTATCTGCAAGTGGAGGAAAATGGAAAATGTGTAAGCATTTGAAACAGTTAAGATATTAAGTTAGTTACTAAATGATTCAATAAACAGTTAATCTAGTGCAAATATGTTTCTGACAGTTTACAAACGAAATAAATAAAGAGGTGGGTTGTGTTTGCATTATTTATTGATATGTTTTGAACTGAAGCTCCACACTCCAGTAGTTTTTCTTGCTCCTTCAGGATTATGGCAACAATTGCCCTATCACTAACAATGAAATATCTGTGTGCCATAACTGTCAAACCGAAAACAACATGGCAAACAAAGATGGCGTTGGAAGGAAGAAGAAGAAGCAGCCGGCTGAGATAGAGAAAGAATGCGGAGTGCTTGTCAAAAGTGACATTCATTGAGGGTGTGGGCAAATGAGACAAACGAAATCCTCCTTGGATTGGAGGAGTGCAGCGAGAGAGCTGCATTTGACAGCCGGATGTCAAAGGCGGTTGGCCATGACAGGCCATAGAACGCGGGTGACATTCGGTTGCGCTCGCAATTGCAATTGCAATTCCAAAACCCAAAACCCAAACGTGAGATGCATACGATAAGCTCGTGTTTGTTTTAGCTTAGATTGTTCTGTCAAGAAAGAAAAAAATATGTATTTGGCATAAATCTCGGAGTCTCGCTTTAACTGCTTAATTTCCATTCGTTAGAGCCACAATTTATTTACCTATGCCATTCGTTATTCATTTCAATTTACATAGCCAGGCACTTGGACAAAAAACACAACCAATGCCATAATTACATTGAACACGGTTGCATAAATATTCAACGTCCTTATGAATAAAATCAATTTCAATATTATTATTTTCGCTGGGTAAACCTGCTAAACGCCGCCGTACATTCGTGTATATATAGATATATATATAGTATATCCCAACTATTGCGACGCCCTTCGTCTGTGCGTAAATATTTTGCATAAATATTAAAATATTTTCACTGATATGGAATTTCCAATTGATTGAATTTCATGTCTGTCTCTGTGCATTTCTCTCTGGGCGGCGAATGCATATGCATGTGGACCAAATGTCGGTTTTGGTTTTGCGTATATCCTGCATGCACTGCCGGCCGACCAGCATCCTGGATCCTGAATCCAGAATCCTGAGTCCAGCATCCACCACATCCTGTTAGCCAGCCGGCCATTTAGTGGATTTTAAAGCTAAACAAGCCAAGCGCTCGTGACCGAGGCCAAAAACCATAGCCCGCAAACCCAAAAACTCGGCGATCCTTTGCCAAAAATGTTGTCCACTTTATTCAATATGCCAAGCGGTGTTTCCACCATTTAAGGGTTCCCATCCAGCACACGTAAAAACCCAAAAAATGGAACGTAAAAAGCCCAATGGAGCAGCCAGCCAGCCATTGTAAACATTTTTATTTCTTTATTTTTTGGAATCCACCGCACTCGCCGAAGCATATTAAAAATATTTGCAACTGCCCCCGCAACCGCTCGAACCGCTCGGCTGCATATAAAAGTTATAAAGCAAAACAGTTTATATATGTCTGAATGTGGTGGTGGTGCTCCACTGTTCCACCTACACCCCCCCTCCCCCCTCATATATCGTGGATATATGTATATTCCGGGGAATGGCTGCTTTCTCGCGGGCGTGGCGTATTATTGATAGTTTTGTGCGATGGGCCTGACAAAAAACGAAATGACTTTTGGCCTCCCGTCCCCTTTTGACCCCCTGGGTTATTGCAGTTGGAGAATAAATTCAGGTGGGGCAACATGGTGGTGGTGCTCTTCTGGGTGGTTTACTGGCCTGGGTAGTCGGGTGGTTGGGCGCTTAAAACGCTGACACACTGCATGCATTGCATATTTTATGGCGCGTCAACACGAGACCATGTGTCACACGGCATGGGGTCTCCATTTTGGAGTGAAGGGCGGGATTCTGCAGCAAGCCCATCAAAGTGGTCATTTATGTCCCGCCCGGATATTGAAAAATCGCACTCCCAGCGACAGCTCGTGGAGGGAATAAGTACAAAAGAAAGGATGCATAAGGAGGTAAATTAAGCTGACGAATTGCGGATCGAAAAGCAGATGACCTGTGGAGTTGCTTTAAATTAAATATATTAAATAGTGTCATGATGGAAAATTATTATTAAATTATAGAAAAAGAGGGTTTAAAATATAGAGATTTCTACATTTCAATTTAACATAAATTGTATAATAATAACATGGTTATGCGTATGCTTTTGTGTGCAAGTGAAATGTGCCATTTCAGTTGCTAACCACATTGTGTTTCCCGAAATTCTCTGAATGCGTTTGTTTGTTTATTATTTCCGAAAACCCCAATTGTTGTATTGTATACCACGGCCAGAGATAACAGCGAACCCACTGAGTAGCCCAAAACGACCCACATCAGACAGGACAAACGAGCCACGCAGGCACGAAAAGAATTTCCATTGCATACTTTTCAGGTGTTTCGGGGATTCGGGTTCGGGAATGCCGAGGGGGGAGATTTAATGCGAACTTCTGCTAGATTATTCGAGTCCTGTAAGAGCATTAATTAAAGCGTTTTATCCGCACAAAATGTTTGTTTAATTAACTATATAATGACACTTTCCCCCCGTGCGAGCGAGTGTGTTGATATTTGAAATTTAATTGCCAGACGGAAAGCGAGGAGTTCATTTACAGGGCCGCAGCGGATTTGTTTTAAAAACCCATTACCGGGTATTACTTGCAAGTAAATAAATGTTGTTGTTGTTTTTTCTGTTTTTTTTTTTTTTTGCGAGAGCAATACGGATGTATGGTTGAGTGGGTGGGTGGTTGGTTTAAAGGGATGGAGCTCATTTGTTTGCATTTGTAAAGGGTGTTAAATTATCCTCGGGATAAACGTAAAAGTGCAAATTCCGGCGTGCGCACGAGGTCTTGTTTTCCTTTTGGCCCTGTTCTTCTTCTTGTCTCCGTTTCCGGCTCGTAGGTGTTGCCTGTTTGTTTGTCTGTCTGTCTGTCTGTCTGTTTGTCTGTCTGTCTGACTGTCTGTTTGTCTGTCTGGGTGGCTAACTGAATGTGTGCGGGTGTTTGGCTGTGTTTGTTGGCCTTCTCGCGCTTGTCGCTTATGCAACGCATTAAATGAGCTTAGTTTTAGTTGACTTCCCACTGCCACTTTGGCTTACAGGGTCTTGTGTCGACTCCGCTCGAGTTGCTGCCACATTCCGCTCTACCACCGCTATACACCCTCCTCCCCCTCCCCCCTCTCCACCCACAGATCCCGCATCCCTGCCTTCTGTGTTGTAATTTCATTAGGGCGCTTTTGGGCTGCCGGCTTCATCTTGGCGGCGCATCTCACTTGGCCTTGTTGATATTTGCGCCAGGAAATTAAGCTGTAGGGCGAATCGCAAATGGAGATTCCGGTACTAGCTACCAAATCCCAGCCACGACAAGAAAACATTCTCTAAATTAAAATGGCAAGTTGAAAATTTCAACTACAGAAATAAGTAAAGAATAAGCCTAAGAGGACTTATTTCTGGAAAAGATTATTTCAAAGTAATAATAACAAAATTGAATAACCTTGCTTGCTTCCTATGAACTCAGCTTTGTAATTGAAACATTTATCAATAAATAAATTATTTTTTATGAACAATTAAAGATTTCAACTTCGTTTTTTTTCGCAATGTATTCCCATAAGAACACGGTTAACAGCGAGTATCAACATAGAAAATCACCTCCTTTAATCGAACAAAGGCCACAGAGTTTATTTGCCGGAGGCCAGGACGCATTTAAAGCCGTGCGTCGACTGGTTTTTGTGGTCAGCCAGGTGGCCTTATCCCTGGCATAAGAGCCCATCAGCCGCTTCGTTTGGCCGGACAGGTGGACAAATGGACAGATGGCCCCCGGAAAGTGGGCGATGGCAAAAGTTGCGCCGTGAGGCAAAGTTTCAGCTTATTAGCTGTGAGTAATGATGCAATTAGCACGGCGGAGGCCATGGACTGCCTGATTACTTGATTAGATGTGCTGTGGAGACACGTGTGCCAATTAACCGCCAGGTGAGTGGGAGGCGATTGATTTCTATCAGTCGGATCGAATTGGGAAATGGGAAAACTCGTAACCTTTGCCCTTATTTACAATCAAATTTATTTACCTCGAGGTGTTGCAGGATATTTCTATGTATTATGAGTGTTTTCGTATACGACATAAATTGGCTTTTAACAAAAGCCATGTATTGTGTTACCTCTTTGTTACGTGTAATGATTATATATATTTATGGTTATCCTGATTGACAATTACAAAACGTGCATAATGCATATTAATAGCTCATACCAAATTGTGGATTAATTACTGCATATTCAAATATCCAACCCAGATTTACGATTTGACTAATAATAATGGGTTAAAGTTCCTCCTACACTCGGCTCCAATTCTCAATTTAATGCCTCGTGTATTAAGCCATTTTCCCCGTGGCCTATAATTTTCAAGCGTAATTAACCCCACCCCCCGGCAGTCACTTGAAATGGGAAGTATTTACCCCGTGGTAAAAGCACTTCGCTCCGTACTTTAGCAACTCGCGCTGAGTAATCTATATATCATAAATAAAAACCCTCGAGAGGCGACTGTGTGCTTGAGAGGCGGAAGTTACTTCTGGCTCGGGACACTAAACAATGTGAAAATTATACAACAAATGGCCATTATATAGCATCGGCTGGGAGGATCCGGAATCGTTAGGCCCGCCCACTCAGCCCGCAATCCATTCTTTCATCCTTTCGACGAGGGCAATAAATGAGTTTAAACTAGAAAATTTATTATACGCGGCGAAACTACTTAAGTTCCACACACACACACACACACAGAGAGAAATAGAAAAGAAATGGGGGGAAAATGGAGAGCAGGAGACACGCAAAGGCAATGTCCTTAAAGTCGCGACTTGTGAGCTACCCCATTCCCCATTCCGCCCCTCCTGTTTAGGCCAATATAATCACGCAAGCCAGACGACGGAAAGTCGAGGAAAGTCGGGGGAAGCCTCCTGCTGCTTGAG